TTGTAAATGATAATACTTTTTATTTTCAATAAAGCACCTTTTGATTTTTCATACATTGTCATTTTTATTTGTCATGTAATAATCTATATTTCGTGTGTATAAATAATTATATATAAGTATAAATATACAAATATATAATGAACATTATGTGATACCAATGTATCATAAATTTAATTGATACTAAAGTGTCAAAATATAAAGTGATATTGTTTTATCATATATTTTTATGACACTTTAGTGTCATAAATTAGTGACACTTTACCAGTGACACTAAATTTAGTGTCACAATTCCCGACCTTCTTTGACACTTTTCTAGTGTCAGAAAAACTTTTTGTGACACTTATTTAGTGTCACTATAGACCATTTTTCTAGTAGTGAGTGATGTACCCAGCGGACCGCTTAATGAGTGCTCTACGCCCGGCCAAGTTTCATCTGGAGTATACCGCTCGGCCTCCGGAGAGCTTCAGACCGGCAGGGGGCGTTCGTGCTTTCAACGCCAGATTTACTCCAGACGACTCGGCCCTGGGGGCAACTTCCGAATGACAAGAAGGATCGCCGCCCGAGGAGGAGATCCGGCAGACGGGGACGCTCGTCTCTTTCACTGCTGATTGCTGGCCTGCTGCGATAGTAATGGAAACCCATTTTGTTGGGGAAATTTTAACCAAGTCAAAATTGGGGAAGGGAGCTCAATGTCATTGTACCTGGTCCACCTCCGTACTAAGCTGGCCGAACGTCTGTTTCTCAGAGCTAAGTACCACCTTTCTTTTACTAATTAAAGTGTTAGTAAGGATAATGTTGAGGTTAATTCCTTCAACCCTTGGACCCAACACGTAAGCCCAAAGATTTCGAGTGGAGTAAGTGTGTGGATATCTAGCCCAACAACTTTCGGATGGATCAGGAAACAAGGGAAATAGCAGGCAATGTAAATAGGTATTATTAACTTCGTAATAACTCCCCTAAGTACAACCTACTTGCTAAAAAAGGCACGTCGGCCGTTCGTCTTACAAGGCAGTAGAAATGCTGCGAGTAAGATTACAATAGCTAGAATGCTAAGAATAGAAAGTTGCCAACCCTTTACAATGAAATAAATGCTTCTATTTATACCCACCAATGGGCAGGTGGCTGCGCTGACGTGGCAGCCTGTGGACCGCTGGTGCCCCAACTACCAAATCTTCAGCATTAAATGCACTTCCCGCCAGAATCTAGGCTTCCCGCCTAATCAATGGGGACGTTCGTCCACCCGGGAAGTGAGTTGGATCCCCCCAAGTGACCCTCAGGAGATACCGGCTGTTCGTCTCCTGGCCTTGATAGATACTCACCATGTGGACTGGGCCTCCTCCGATGACTATAGGCTTGTCATGGGGACGTTCGTCATCATCCCTGGTGGCCCGCGGTCCTGCTCCTTATCCCTACATTGACGTTCGTCGGGAGGAGCCGCTGGGCCTGAACCCCCAACCCCAGACGTTCGTCCATCCTCAAGGAACATGGGCCTGTGGGCCGGCCTAGTGTTCTAACTGGACGTCCGTCTGGCAAAATGGGTTAGTGGGCCGGACCTCGGCTTGGGCCCTTAACCCAACAGATAATATCGTGGTTATTTTCATGTCATTATTTAACAGGGCTTAAAATGTCCCAAAATTAAATAAAGCCGAGCGAAGCTCAAGGATGAGCTTCCATGAGGTTTTTAATTTAATAATTAGGAGATGAGCCGGGTCGAGGGTCATCGTACCCCAATGTGGACGCTCATATCCGGAAGAACTAGGTGATGGGCCGGGCCGAAGGTCATCGCACTCCGAGGCCGACCGTCATGCCCGGAAGAGCCCCAAGCCGACCTACAAAAAAAAAGTGTGCACATACATATACATATTGTCTGGCCATTTGGCCGCGTTACTATGTTCATTGTGCAGATTAAGATCTTAGTCAGATAAGAGATGATGCTCAAAATGAACCTTGGTGCCAAGGGCTTGGGGACGAGCATCCTCCTCCCGGAGGCCGAGGTTCTAAAGAGAACCATCAAGAGCCAAGGGCCGTGGACGAGCATCTTTCACCCCGGATGCCGAGGGCCCGAAGACAATCATCTATCGTCCAGTGGCCTAGGCCCGGGGACGAGCATCTTCCACCCGGAGGCCGAGGATCTAAAGAAGACCATAAAGAGCCAAGGGTCGTCGACGAGCATCTTTCACCCCGGATGCCGAGGGCCCGAAGACGATCATCTATCGTCCAGTGGCCTAGGCCCGGGGACGAGCATCTTCCACCCGGAGGCCGAGGATCTAAAGAAGACCATCAAGAGCCAAGGGTCGTGGACGAGCATCTTTCACCCCAGATGCCGAGGGCCCGAAGACGATCATCTATCGTCCAGTTGCCTAGGCCCGGGGACGAGCATCCTCCACCCCAGAAGCCGAGCGTCTAAAGAAGACCACCAAAGGCCAAGGGCTTGGAGACGAACATCCTCCACCCCAGAAGCCGAGCGTCTAAAGAAGACCACCAAAGGCCAAGGGCTTGGAGACGAACATCTTTCACCCCGGATGCCGAGGGCCCGAAGAAGATCATCTATCGCCTAGTGGCCTAGGCCCGGGGACGAGCATCCATCACCCGGAGGCCAAAGCCCGGGGACGAACATCCATCACCCGGAGGCCAAAGACTGGGGACGAGCATCCCCACCCCGGAGGCCAAGGGCATTGAGGCGCGCAACACATCCTGAGACCGAGCATGCCCAGGCTGAGCATGTTGAGGTAGAATTGTCCCAAGGAGACCCAGCCTAGCATCTGGAGGTCGAACGTCTCTAGGAATAGGCCGAGGATTGTCGCTGTATGACGACTCCGAGGTCTGCTACCGGGTCGTGCATCAAGAGCAAGGACACATCTAGGCCGAGTTCCTAAGGGTCGAACGTCCAAAGGAAGTTGAGTCGGGTTTCTATGGACTAATCTTCCTAAGCATGTCGGGCCGAGCATCCAGAAGGAAAATTCCAGAGCCCCAACAACGAGAGATCGAGCAGGCTGACCGTCAAGGGGCCGAACGTCCAAGGAAGCCCAGCCTAGCATCTGGAGGTCGAACGTCTCTAGGAATAGGCCAAGGATTGTCGCTGTATGACGACTCCGAGGTCTGCTACCGGGTCGTGCATCAAGAGCAAGGACACATCTAGGCCGAGTTCCTAAGGGGTCGAACGTCCAAAGGAAGTCGGGTCGGGCATCCGTGGGCCGAATGCCCCAATCCAAGGCATTGAATTAAGCCTGTGCTCCGAAAGCCGAGGTCATGTGCAAAGAAGGCAGAGGAAGAGCGTAGGCAAGAGTATACTTTCTCGAGCAGATTCGCACGCTCACTACTCAAGAAATTGGGGGACTTGTGTTGAGGTATATTACCCCGGTCCGTTACTGTTCAGGAGCCCAAGGCATCGCCCCAGCTTGGAGCCCGAATGACAAGGTCCATTTCAGCCTATTAGGCATGTTTCGGCCCTTTGGGCCCATTTTGGGCTTACTTGGCCCATTAGGTTAGGTTTCCCCTTTCCCTTACCCTATAAATATGGGGCTTTCCCACATGTTTAGGGATCCTTTTTGATCCCCCTTTTCTTCTTCCTCCCTTTCACTAGAATAGCTTAGAACCCCATTAATGGGAGCTTCAATACTTGTACTATGTAATGGTGAGGAGAGACTAATGAGAATGAGAGGGCTTGGACATTAGCCTAAAAAGTCCCGTGGTTTTCTCCCTTTCGGGTTTCCACGTAAAAACTGAGTGTTCATACATATATTTACTATATCGTGTTGGATTAAACTGTATTAAAAAAAAACTAAAGTAATTAAGTTTCTCATTACAAAACATATCTTATTGAAGTTGGGTCAATCTAATAATAGTGGCAAATATATTCTGGGTTCAAAATAGTACGACAACCAGATACCATTTTAGCTTTTCACTGCCCCAAGTTCGCAATTCAACCTAAACCCGACCTGTTTCTGCCCCTAGAAATAATGGAGTGATAAAGCACGTATATATGCCTAGGGCCTAAAATTACCAAGCATATTTACATACTTCTTTATTTACCAATACCGGACATGTTTCTACCCCTAGAAATCTCTCGCCATTCACTTAAAAAATATTCTCAGATTTCGAATTCTCAAGTTCAATTGCACCGCTGGAAAAATTTTGGAGAATCACAAACGAACCAGTCCACTTAGACTTTGTTTTTCCTCGAACAAATTTAAAACGAGAGTCAATGCAAGCTAAGCGACACCACTTTCTAGAATGAAGAATATGATGGAGTACTTTATTTATTTACTTTTGAACGAAGAATATTTACATAGTATAACATTGATCTTTTTGTATTTCCATGTGTGGAAGTGATAGTAAAATATATTCTCCTTCTAGTTTACATTGTAAAACATTCCTTATATGCTTTCCTTAAGAAAATAATATAGAAAATAAATAGTACTTTTTTTGTCTCACAATAAATTCTTTTTTTTGAATTCGCCAATTCTTGAAAAATGGGTTTTTATCGACTCTCCAAGTCTGTTTTTCCTCAAAAGTATGGAAAAGAAAAATTAAAATTATATACTCCATGTGTACTCTTATAGTGATAAAAGCATACTCTATCACACAAATATGATCAAAAACAAAAGTGAAAGCTGTATTTTGGGGCATCACAAAAGAAAATTGAGATTGTAATTGTGAGAAGGATTGTGAATAATTAAAAAAGACAACTAATAAAACATTTTTCACATAATATTACTCCGTCCCAAAAACAATTTTTCACTTTCACTTATATGGATGTCTCAAAATAAACTTTCAATTTTCATAAAAAGAAAATTATAAATAGTGATCATCACAACTATGTTACTTTCTTTTCTTTTACTTCATTAGGAAAAATCACCCCTATCTTTGAGGTAGTAGTTAAAATTATTCTTTTTTTTAATAAAAAATATTAGCGCCGCTTAATGTACAGTACCACTGGATTAATGGTATATATACGGCTGAGGGGCTTCTCTTAAAATCCGAACACCAATTAAGCAAGCTAATAACAAGACAATTAGTGAGATATGGGCAACGGCTACTCTAATTCTCAATTCCGGATGGTCCCATTCAACAGAACAGCAGCAGCCCAGAAGCAGCCTTCAGTGAATTCTGCCTTTCATTCTCCCACACCAAACAAGCCTTTAGCCGATTCTGCCTTTCATTCTCCCACACCAAACCAGCCTTTAGCCATTTCTGGCTTTCATTCTTCCACACCAAACAAGCCTTTAGCCATTTCTGACTTTCATTCTTCCACACCAAACAAGCCTTTAGTCACTGCCTTCCATTCTTCTTCACAATGGAAAAACCACTTTAATGAATCAAAGAAATCCAACAAACTGGTACGTACATGCCTCCCAACTATCATACTACGTAATGATTATAGAAATGACTTCAAATAGGACTAAAACTATGACAAAAACTCAAAATAGGACTTGCTATGTTTTTTTTTTCAAAATAGGACTAAAGTAGTCCTATTGGAAGCATACCCATTTCTTCCTTCTATTCTTACCCCTCATTTAAATATTAGTAAAAGATAGCTAAAAGTCATAATCAATGTTTAATTCAGGATAAATCCGAAAAATTTCAATAATTCGTATAAAAATAATTAAAAAATTAATAAAATTTTTATAAAATAAAAAATAAGATTTTTTTTTAATTTTTTTTTGAAAATTAATAAAAAACAGTAAAACTCCATAAAAAAAATTAAAAAAAATATGGATACCTTTCCCACCGCCTGTACTACCTCCCTGAACCACCACCTCCGTTCGGTGTAAAAAATGCCACTATTTTTTAAATTCCACAAAAATGACATATTTCTCTATGAGAATGCCAACATTTTCATTCTGCCAACTTGAATCCTTTTGACTTTTGCCAAAAATATGACATTCATAATTTTTTTGGCATTTTTTTACCCCGGTGACAGGTGGTGGTACCGCCTCCCTGCACCACCACCTCCGACCGTTAAAAAAAAGGCATATTTCCTATAACTTCCATTTTTTTCGGAAAATGCCAAAAATATGGCATATTCCTCTTTGACAATGCCAACATTTTTTTCTGCCATCTTAAATCATTCTGAATTATGCCAAAAATATGGAATTCATAATAAATTTGGCATTTTTCCCCAAATGACTAGAGGTGGTGGTGCTGGGGCGGCAGAGGCAGCGGTGGCAAAAAAAGAAATTTTATTTTTTTTAATTTATTTTTATTTTTTTTCGAAATTTATTATTATTCAAAATATTTTTATTAATTTTTTGGTATATTTTACGAATTTTTATTATTTTTTATTATTTTATTATGAATTAAAACATTCCAATAGGTATAAGGGTATATTTGTCCAAGACACACATAATTAGTCCTATGGAAACATAGTTTATTTTTTGGTCCTATTTGTGCAAAGTGAATGATTTTTAGTCCTATTTTGATAATTAACTCTAATGATTATTATAATACGGAGTAATAATCATTATACTACGTATTTTAGTTTCCGTTACGACTTAAGACCCGTGATTCTATCCTAGCTAAGAGGTTAACCTTATATAATTTTTATTGTTTTATTGCTTTTCGGAGTGAGACAAATACTTTAACACGCCCCCTCAGTCCGACCTAGGTTGAACAGTATCAGGGTGAATAAATGAGCCAAAAGGACTCTTAACAAGCTACCCTTAATTATGGTTTCTAAACAGGCAGTCAAACCTGAAACCATGTTAAGACTTGAATTTTCATTCTAAAAGGTTAACCTGATATAGGAGGAGTAACGCAAATCCTTATATAGTGTTTTATTATTTTATAGTTTTCCGGTATGAGACAAATACTTAACAATTTCATTCACATTCTTCATAATTAACTTCATAGCAAGCGTAGTGGTTAACTATCAAACAAAAAACAAGCGTAGTTAATTCATTAATATGTCACTTATTAGGATGGTAATACATAGATATATTGGACCGGAAGTCCATAGAATCAAGGACAAAATTATATTGACTCTTTAATTACGATACGCTTGTTTGGATTAAATTGAGTTATACGACGTATATCTTTATTAAATCTTATGCAAATTAAGGTTAATGTGTGACAAGATCATTTTTTGTTTCGATGAATCTTGTCTATATTATGATCATATATGATTCATATGCTAATTAGTGTTTTATTTTTAATTGGATTGTAGATGGTTATTTACTTCACAGCTACATGGTGTGGACCTTGCAAGATCATGGAACCAGCCATCAATGAAATGGCTGAGCAATATAGGGATGTGGAGTTTGTCAAGATAGACACTGATGAACTATTTGTATGTATATAATAAATCTATACTCTCTCTACATCTTGATCATCACATAATTTAGGGAACAATCACTTTGCAACTAAAATAAAAAAAACATTGTTTGAGTAGTTATGCCCTTTTTAAAAAAATACACTCAAAATCATTGCAACTTTTTATAGAAAGCATGAAAAGTATTTTAGTATTCTCATAAAACATTTGACGCGGCACAATGTAAAATGTTAAAAAAAAGTGTAGAACAATTTGTCAAACCAACAAAATAAATAAACCAAACAATGCCTCAAGAGTTAGTTGTTCACTACTTCACTTTGACTCATGGGTTTAATAGGAAGTCAGATGAATCCGGCCTGACAAAACTATTTTCGTCAAATCGTCACAAAAACTTTGTCAATCATTATTACTAGCTTAGTAACATATTCATTGTTGTTTAGAGTGAGCAACTCCTCGCTTTAGCATTTTTATGAGGGTGTAAGAATGGAGGCTCTATAAAATATGCTTGTATACTACTCCTATATATATAGACTTGTCCACGATTTCCGGTTCTAGAATCGTTACAATAAAGTTCTGGTTCTAGTTTCATAATTTTCGTAATTGTGAACCACTGGTTCGGTTCCGGTTCAAACTCGGACAAGCGTACTCCTGTAACCCCATCATGTTATGTTTAGGAAGAGGGTTTAGGATATTAGTAATTGAATTGAAATTTTCCGATCTGACCTGCTAGATGTCTAGTTTGGTTGTTTGCGTCTAGTTTGATCTGGTCTAGGACAGAAACCAGTCTAGGTAAAACCGTAAAAGCATTCTAGTATAACTATTAAAAAATGTGAAATTGTCTTGTTGATATGAAATTTATAAAGGTACAAATGATAGAAAGACACTAAATATGACTACAATTGATATTTAACAAGCGGTTTATTACGATCTAATAAAAATAGAACGATGTTACATACTACGTAATACGAAGTATGAGATATGTGAAGAAGAATATTACTCCGTAGAATATAGAAGTTGGGTCATGGTTAAAAGAGTTGGCGAAATTTGCAATTTCAGTTCCATAATTTTAGGTTGTACCCATTATTGGTCTTATGAGAACTTTTGGTCTTGTAATTAATAATAAAGTAAGAACTTTTTTTTACTGGAAAATGCACTTTATGAGAGAAAATTGACACTGCGGATGACACCTTCTTAGCCTGAAAGTCTACATTTGCCAGAAAAGTTTTTCATTTGCAAATATTTATTAATTACATGATCAAATGTGCAAATGATGAAAATTACCTGGGGCGCATTTTAAATTTTTGTCTACCTTTTTAGACTAAAACTGCAAATTGAGTTGTATACGATGGTAGTGAGAAACTAGGCATTAAAGTTTAAATTAATACTAGAAAACTTTACCCATCAACTTAGCTAGTACTTTTTCAGACCGAGTTAGGCTCTGTTTGCAACCACTTGTGCTTAAATAAAAGTACTTTTGGGGAAAAAGTGATTATTAGTAAAAGTTGGTAGTGTTTGGTAAAATAAGTGCTTTTTGTGTAATAGAAAAAGTAAAAAGTAGATTCTACACGAAAATCGAGGAAGTAAAAGTTGGTAGTGTTTGGAAAAATAAGTGCTTTTTTCTTTAAAAAAAGCCAAAATCACTTTTTTTAATTGGTTGCAAACAAGCCCTTACACTAAACAGATGAGACAAAATTAAACACAACAGTTAATTAGACCAAAAAATTCCATACTCTAATGATTAAATGATGTATCATTCTTACTCACATATTAATATACCCTTTCTTAAAAGAGTATATGATATAACTCATCATTTCGTTCTTTCTTGCTCTGGGAGATGTATGAACATTAAGGACAAATAAAAAACAAATGAAAATGTTCAAAAAAGAATGGATGGTTCTTTTATAATTAATATTTCGTTGTAGATCAGAGTAACTAATGTGTTAATGATATGGATGCAGGATGTGGCTGAAGAATTTGAGGTGCAGACAATGCCTACATTTATACTGGTGAAGGGTGAGAAAGTGTTTGAGAGGATTAAGGGAGCACAAAAAGAAGTTCTTCGAGCCACTATTCTTAAACACAAGAACTAATGATGTCTCATCTCATACCTTAAAACGTATGATCGAAATTAATGCAATAAATAACGTCTAAACACATACGTAGTACATACTACGTATTAATAAATCATATTGTCCGCCAGACGGTAGTATTAATATTGTAATCATCACAAAAATAATGATACTTTAGTTGTCATGATGAGTAGAGGCTGTAGAGCAAGTATGAATAAATTAGTATAGGGAGTATTAATTATACTTCTCTTGGAAATATACTGATGAGTGTCTGATCTATTGTTATGTTTTCATTACGTACTAGTATAGTACCCGTGCGATGCACGGGAATTTTTTCCATATATTTATTGTAGTACTATAAAATAAAAAGGATATAATAATTAGCTTATTTCTCAAAATCCAAAGGATATATTTATTACACATCTATAACTCAAAACGGGTAGAAACCGGCGGGTTGGCCCGTTTTCAACCACTTATAAGTGTGTTAGGGCTATCATTTCCAGACCGGATTTTTAAGCGGGCTTAGTGGGTCAACCCTAACGGGTTGCGGGTTGCGGGCCAACCCGCGGGCTGAAGACAAATATCATTTATTCTATGTATTTTTAATTCTATAATTTCTATATAGGACTGATCGACAAAGTAAAATTTTGAAATATACCCTAGACGAACAGACGGAAGGTCACGAAGGACTGAAGGAGATGAAGAGGCATGTTTCTCTGGTAGTCTGGGAGAACACGAATAGCCAAACAAAAAATTGGGAAAATCAATAATATCTTTTATTTTACTCTCTTTACTTCCAGTTCTTTCCTCTCTTCTAATACTAATGTATTTTGTTCATGACATCCAAATCATACTAACTAAATGAGAAATTAGATATTCAAGCTTAAGTATACCCACGATGATACATTAAAGCTTTTAAGTATTTTGGATTTTAACTTTTTAAGTATACCAATTACTCACGATGATTCATTGTATACAACCAAAGGATTTTCAAGCACTATTTCTTTTCCTGTTTAGGGTTTGTTTGCAAATGCTTGTGCTTAAATAAAAGCACTTTTTGGGAAAAAGTGATTAGTAGTAAAAGTTGGTAGTGTTTGGTAAAATAAGTGCTTTTTGTGTAATAGAAAAAGTAAAAAGTAGATTCTACACGAAAACCGAGAAAGTAAAAGTTTGTAATGTTTGAGAAAATAAGTGGTTTTTTCTTAGAAAAAAGCCACAATCACTTATTTTAAGTGATTGCAAACAGAGCCTTAATTGTGTTTGGATTTTAATTTGGATATTTAATTGTTATTTCAATTGCGTTTGGATTTTAACTTAGATATTTAATTGTTTTTTGTTTTGACATTTATGGTCCACGGGTTGGCCCGCATAACCCGTGGGTTAAGTGGGTCGGGTTAAAGTCATAAAATTCTGGCCCGATAGTAAACGGGTTGTCCCGCCCCAACCCGTGAAACTCATAACTCGCCGCGGGTCGGGTCGGTCCGGGTTGGCCCGTTTGACAGCTCTACATATACTCAACTATTCTGCTCTTTCTATCTGCACAAATATAGTCGTTTTTCAGCCTAATAAAGTTTGTCGGGCCCAACTGGCTAAAGGCCCAAAATTAGCAGACATCTCTCGATCAACTTATCCCCATCCAGATGATCCAGCCACATGTCATGGGGTAAATGCATAAATGGTACCTCAACTATCGGTAATGTTGCATTTTGGTACCTTAACTCTTAAATGAATCAAAATGGTACCATAATTATACACAAATGTTTCGAATTGAGATTTTATTCAAATTTTCGACCACTCCACCAGGCACCAGCAGCGCAACACGCCTTTTCAGCAGTTGCCTACTCTCCTCAAGCCCGTCGCCAGGTCCCCTGCACCCCGCCCCTAACCCGTCGCCCTAAGTTTGGGAAAATTTTACAAATAGAACCAAATCATATCAAGTTTCCAAAATTAGGAGTTAAAATTCGTATAGGACATAAGTGCACAGGATTTGACAATTATACCCTTAATTTTAATACTCTGCTTCTAAACATTAAAACTTCCCGATCGAATGGCAAAAACAACGGGCTTCAACCTTCTTCGACCGCACCTCAATGGAAAAGATTCAGTTCTCCAGATCTTCAACCTTCTTCTTCAAGGAGCAACAACGCGCGATTACTAGAGGCGAGGAGCGACGAAGGAGTCAGTAAACACGAACAAAAGGCGAAGAGAAAGAAGAAATCAGAGGCTCAAAACGTTGAAAAAGTGGAAGAAATTGAAGAACGCAATCTGACAGTGATTTCGAAACAAAGAGCCCTAACAAGTAAGTTGTTCAATTCAATAGTGGGAGATCATGATAAATTATTCATATGAAATTGTCTTCTTCTCTTATTGTCTACTACTTCTCTTATGATAATAACTACTTTTCGTACACGTTGTAATTGATATTTGACAAAATACAATTGTCCAGTTCCTATCCAAGTAGTCAGTAATAGACTTGGTAAAACGGAGGAGATTTACAAGTTAGTGCATAATGAGTACTTAGATAGCTTAAAACTGGATATGCACAATTCAATTGCAAATTACGAGTACATAAGTATAAATATATAAGGCTTTGAAATGTCCAGGAATCTGCATCAATATGGTATATTCACTTTTGTGGGTTTCACTTTTGCATTGCAAATATGGCCATTTGAATGTTTCCCAACTCTTAGGACAATCTTTAATGTATATATTGTCTGTAACGTAGTGTTTATATTATATTTTCTTCATGCTACAAAAGTTGATTATGCCACGTCTTTGGTTTATTGCTTTTTACGATCAAATTTCTATTGATATAGTTTCATCAATTTGATAAAAGACTAAAAACATAGCAAGAACCATAGAGTAGATAATTGGGGGAGTACTTTTAACTGCTTGTTTATGTTTCTTGATTATTATTGGCTTATACTTGAGCAAGTAGAGGCCGGGTAAATTCTAAGATAAATTACTATGTAATGTAACTTTATGCTCTATGGTGCAGAATAACTTAGTGCAATGCTAACTGTCTTCTATGCGCTGCAGTTTGAATATCAGAAAATGCGATCAAGACAGAATGAGCTTAAGATACCAATAATCACATCAAGTCGTCTTCATTTGGAACATGGACCACCAAGACAGTAATCAAGTGTTTGTGCTGATGGAAATATTCAAGAAGGTAGGAAAGTTCTTGAAAGTGGCACTGGACTTCAACAATGCATAGTTTGAAAGTGTACACTTTTATTGCACTGATAAAGAAGATGGTGGTACGCAAGAAAAGAATGGTGAGGGTGCAGTAGTAAGTGGAAAACAAAGAGTAAAAAGGTTTCTTAAGAGAAAAAAACAGTTAGCCATCAAGTCAAGGATAGAGCAATCATGTGTATCATAATGGCTGCAGCGCGCGCTACTGATGCAGGTGGCCTGAATTAAGAGTGTATGTAATACAAAGACAGAGTGTGACCTAAGATGCAATGTAATAGTTAGATTGTCAGGAAGAAAATATATGTAAAACTTCAATCTATTGATCATTAAGTATTGTGATTACATATTAGTTACATTTTGTTTTGAAATATGACAGTATAAAGTATCCTTTTCAAATTAAATGAGCACTCATTTTAACTTTTTATTTCATGCTGACATCACTTTAAACTCTAATATAATTATGGAATGAAGTCCATAAGTAGTCAATAACAAGTCTTTAATAAAACAAGCATAGACATTAAATGACTATAACTACGAGAAGAAATGACAAGAAAGCTACTAATGAATGCAAAAACGAAGGAAGCGGGTGGATTAAGATAGTCGATAATACAAAAGTAATATGTGGTCTAAGTATTGTTGGAAAGAAAAATGCATGTAAAACTTTCTTCTTTTGGTCATTAAGTATTGTGATCATATATTAGTTACATTCTGTTTTGAAATATGACAATATACTATATCCTCTCTTTTTGTTTCAAAAGAAATGAGTGTTCATTTTTACTTTTTATTTCATGATGAGATCACTGTAAACTCTGATATAAACATGGAATGAAGTCAGTAAGTAGTCAATAATAGGTCATTAATAAAACAAGTGTAGACATTAAATGAATACAACTAAAGTAATAAGTACATAAGGCAGTTACAACTACATGTAAAAGCTTATAAAGTAACAATGGAGTTTGATAATCTGGTTAATTAAACTCTAGATACAAGACCCATGAAATAAATATGAGCATATTGTTGTTAAATGCGGACACAAAAACTCAAAACATTTCTCGTAAATAACTGTTACACATTTCGTGCATTAAATATGAGCATATTAATTGGAAATTTTAGTTGCAGTCTTGCATATAAGGGAAGAAACGAGAAGCGTGCTAAGTAGATAAAGCCAGTATGTTAATTGCGTTTTGGAGTAGGCAGTAAATATGTACAACACAGGCAGTCAGTAATTAGAGAGTAAAAAGACAATAATTTCAAAGATGATGTGTGCTGGTTCTGAAACATATATTATTCAATAAACTCGAGTTTGAATGACAAAATAACATAACATCCAATGCCAAAAACCACGACAACTAATATAAAACTTCACTGCCAATAAACCATGACAATTTAAAAGTGCGGGAAAAAAAACTAAAATCCTCACAACTCTCATTGGATGAAACGAAAGTGATATGACATTTCGTGTTTTAAGAACTACATGTTGGAAGAAGATCACTATAAGACTTCTTGTTGTGCCTCCCTTTTTACACCATGAACATTGTTTCCGCTGTCGAGAACAAAATTCTTCAGTTGAAGGTAAACGCTTCTTTTTAGGCTAACGAGTTGGCATTTGAGAACCAATAGGCTGCACAACAAGAAAGTGTAAGGGAAGTTTAGCTTATAAATTCACAACAAGTTTAAGCAATAATTGCAAGAAGGTATATGTCAGATTTTAAGCTGTAAATGCAGCAACTTCAAGCCCATATAAAGGGTTCAAATGCAGAACTTTTTACCTGTAAATGCAACTTGTTAAAGGGAATATTAAGCCTATAAATGGACAACAAGTTAAAGCAGCAATTGCAGCAACTTAAAGGCCATATTAAAGCTCCAAATGCAGCAACTTAAAAATATAAACGCAGCAACATATAGGTTTGCTTTGATGCTGTAAATGCAGCAACTTCAAGCCCATAGAAAGGGTCTAATGCAGAATTTTTTACTTGTAAATGCAACTTGTTAAAAGGCATATTAAGCCTATAAATGGACAGCAAGTTTAAGCAGCAATTGCAGCAATTTAAAGGCCATATTAAAG